GGATCACCATTCTTTCCCCTAATGATGGTAATAGGTGTGGTGCTGCAAGTTTCTTTTTTATGGAATTAAAGAGCGAATTGTGATCGCGGGCCACTTAGGCAGATTCCATCTCCTCAGCAACCCGCGTCTACCACACATCCTTGCAGCGTCTCACAGTTCTTCGAACCTCCGAGCAAAGGCTGCGTTAAGCCTCATTCTCTGACGTGGGATGTTGTAGATGACGAGAGTGGGCTAGTCGCTTTTTCTTGTCAGCCAGGGTCTCTGCGGAGGTCTGGACCGTGTACCCAAAGCAGCCAATGCAGCTTTGGATGAAATTTTCGCTTGCAACCTTCATCAGCTAGTTGAGACCAGGCCACTATGGGTTTGAATGGGTTGCTGACTATATACCCACCACTGGAGTGGAAGAATGGCAGGCGCATCTTACAGATGACAAGTCGATGGCCAGTGGGCAGATCAGCTCCACTGTAGGTCCTGGTGTCAAGGACATGGGCCCGCATCCACTGTTCCGTCACTATGAAGTCCAGCAGATGTTGGTGCTTGGACCCGGCATGCATCCATGATGTTGTGTGGATGCGCAGATGCCGAAGCAGCGTGTTGGTAATTACAAGTCCATGGGCTGCACAAGAATTTACCAGCCTCCTACCATTGGTATTGAGTTGATCTGGCCCATTCCTTCCAGTCACTCCAAACCAGGTAACAGCATCATGACCAACTTAGCCATTAAAGTCACCCAACAGGATGACTCTATCCCGAGAGGCCACTTTAGCTAGCACCTGTGACAGGATGTCATAGAAGGCATCTGACGCATCGGCCTTGCCTGCATCCCTCCACGGATGTTCGTCTTCAGTGGGAGCAGAAGTAACCACGACCACCACTCCTCGCCTCTGGTTGATGGGAAGACAAGCCCAAAGTAGCCTGGGGCTTACAGCTTCCCACACCTCACCGCCCCGCTCCCACGCCCCCTTCATTCTTTTGTTCATAAGAAGAGCCACTACCTGTTGTTTGGAATTCTTCTGCCCTGAGTAGAGGAATGTCCACCACTCATGGTGGCAGGAGCTGGAGCTGGTCAACAGGACCTCCTGTATTCCACAAAGATCCAGGTGGTACCGTTCCAGCTCTCAACAGATGAGTGGCAGCTTCTCCTCCGCAGTGAGCGTTCGAACATTCCAGTGGCCATCCACAGTGATTTTTTGCTGTTTCTGGAGAAACCCCGAGGATAAGGATTCAATCCCCTGGCTCTGCCAAATGGGGTTTGGCCAGGAGACGTCATAGACGCCTGTCCCCCCGGGGCCTCCGGCACAAGCTTCGTATGATATTTTTTCCTTGGTATTGTGGTAATTTATTTGAAGGTGGAGGGGTTACCAGCACCCTCGCATCTGTCCAGAGCCCCCATTTGGTTGCTGTGGCGGCTACAAACACTATTGAGGGGAATGGCCGATGTAAATTGGCTCTACCCCCCACGGCACTCCTCACCACAGCGTTGCCGTCCAGCACCAACGAGGAGGTAGGGGGTTGTTTTGCTGCGCATACACGAACACACACTCACGCCCCAGCGGTGATGTGGGGACTCGGTACAGCTGGCGGAGGATCGCTCTGCCAAACCAAATAGTCCGGCGGCTCCTTTTGCCAGTGCGAGTAGGCGTTTGCAAGTTATATTGAAACAATTGTTTTGCACAGAATTTGTTATCTCCGTGTCGTCGCATGTGGAGCTTTCGTCCAAATCAGTGTGTCGACATACGATCGTTCATTGGATCAATGAACGGGACTCAAGAACACAGCCGCTTCGTAAGGCGTGAATTATTACCTATTGCACGGGAAGGGTGTCTCACTGTTATTTTATTATTGGAAGTTTGTATCGTCACGTTTACAGGCAAATTTATAGGCGAGGCGACGCTCAGCAAGTAGCCACCCAGCCTGTGTGAAGGTGCTAAGTAAAAGAATAAGGCGATGAGTCCCGTCGCGCACGCCGATTGGTTGCGGTGCGTGACGTCACCGCGAGGAAGCAGCCAACAAGAGGGGCAGAATGCTATGGGAAATATACTCTTAGTTCTTTCGGTAAAGTCACGTAGGTAAAATTAATCAAAATAAAACAATAAAAATCACGACGTTTCGGAGGCAACACAAGCTTCCGTCTTCAGGTGAAACCGTCACAGCAAAATATCTGTACCTTATATAATGGTTAAGGGGGGAGGAGCCAGGAAGGGCAGCGGGGGAGGGGGAGTTGTGAAGTGGTCAATTACTGCTTTTGTTATACTGCTGGGTGGGTAAATGAATTAGATACGATTAAGCCGCTCTCTGTTATGCTGTTTATGCGCAAGTCACTGTGGGATGAATGGACTCGTGGTCAGGGACGTGTTGCGCAAGTAACTGTGGATGTACATAATAGAAAAGGGGCGGAAATGCCCATGTTTATACCAGTGTTGGCTGACAATAAACAGTACTGTTAAACGTTAGGGATGTTAACACTCGGTGAAGTAAAATAGTGCCCATCAGATAAGATGGTCCAAAAATGTGTAATTAAATCTTTTTTGCATGGTTGATAACATCTTTCCAATGATTACTAAGTTTGTACCCATCATCACGGTTGAAATTATGTCTGTGTTTGTATATCTGAATGGCTTCGTGTACAAACCTTTGATGGTAGCCAGAAGGCTTGCAGAGCACCTTAGTCTCGGAGAAAACAATCTCATGAGAGCCCACCGAGTTGTAGCAATGATCGGCAACGGCGGACGACTCAATTTTGCCGTGTTTCAAATCTGACTTGTGCTCGCGGACACGATCAGAGACATGACGTTTCGTTTCCCCAATGTAACAGTCACCACAGCTGCAACTCAGTTTATAGACTCCAGGGTATTGCAAGTCAGGGATGACATCCTTCACAGATGGAATTAGATCACGGATTTTATGTACTGTACTGAATCGGACTTGGATCTTATGTTTGTTTAGAATTTTGGAGATATTTTTGGTCACGCCTGCTATGTATGGTAACGTGACAGTTTTGATCGAAGTTTCAAGTGGCTGTTTCTGTATGGTTGGAGAAACAGCTTGACGGATGGTGCGTTCAGAGTATACGTTCATCCTGAGGGCCCGATGTACATGTCTCAATTCACTGGCCAGGTGGTGTTGGTCAGAAATGCCATGAGCTCTGTGGTATAGCGTTTTGATGAGAGAATTCTTTTGAGATGGGTGGTGGTGAGAATCCGGTTTCAAGTAGGAATCTGTGTGGGTGGCTTTCCTGTAAACAGAATGTCCCAAGGATCCGTCAGGTCTCCTCTCAAACAGAATATCTAAGAATGGTAGTTTGCCATCTTTCTCCACTTCCATGGTGAATCTGATGGATGGATGTCTGGAATTGATGTGGTCCAAGAAGTGGTTCAATGCTGGGAGGCCATGTGGCCAAATGACGAAAGTATCATCCACATACCTCTTCCACAGGGAAGGACGCAGGGTGGATGTCTGGATGGCGTCTGATTCAAACTGTTCCATGAACATGTTGGCTATCACTGGTGACAAGGGGGAGCCCATAGGGGTACCCTCATTCTGTTTGTAGAAGGTGCCATTCCAGGTAAAATAAGTGTTGGTGAGGCAATGCCTAACCAGCGCAGGTACATCCGAATTCAATCCATGTTGGACCAAGTCCTCAATTATTGTTAGGGTATCAGGCACTGGAACTTTGGTAAACCGAGATACTACATCAAAACTAACGAGGATATCATCAGGAGATAGTACCATGTCCTTGACCAAAGAGACTAGTTGGGTTGAGTTGAGTACTGCCGAAAAGGTCTTGCCTGTGAAGGGAAGTAGAGTGTCTGATAGAAAACGGGCTAGTTTGTAGGTAGGGGAGTTAATCGTTGACACGATGGGTCGTAGCGGGGTGCCTTCTTTATGGATCTTGGGAAGACCATAGAGTCTGGGAGGTCTAGCAGCCGAGGGTTTTAGAGAGGGACGTTTAGATGGTTCGATTAGGGAAGTCGAACTAGTGATGATACTGTTGGTTTTTGTCGTTAGGCTGTTAGTAGGATCGCTTTTCATTTTGGAGTAACTACCATCAAAGAATCATACAACAACAAAATCCTGGACCTACTTAATGATGGTACTTGCGCAACACGTCCCTGACCACGAGTCCATTCATCCCACAGTGACTTGCGCATAAACAGCATAACAGAGAGCGGCTTAATCGTATCTAATTCATTTACCCACCCAGCAGTATAACAAAAGCAGTAATTGACCACTTCACAACTCCCCCTCCCCCGCTGCCCTTCCTGGCTCCTCCCCCCTTAACCACTATATAAGGTACAGATATTTTGCTGTGACGGTTTCACCTGAAGATGGAAGCTTGTGTTGCCTCCGAAACGTCGTGATTTTTATTGTTTTATTTTTATTAATTTTACCTACGTGACTTTACCGAAAGAACTAAGAGTATGAATCCTTGCAGTCACGAAATCTTCAAATCTAGAATGCTATGGGAAAGTTTCGGCGCGTATTATTATTAGACAAGATACATTTTTAAATACATCGATACACAATATATTAGATTCCCACTCGTGGCAAACACCAGTTCCCATTATTGGAACCAATCCCCTAGGTCGACTCGGCCTCAAGCGAGTACCTGGTGCGAAAATGTATACTCGTTGCTGGGGAGACAAAGGCAGCCAGTGGTGTGGTGCTATACACCACCCCTGACGTGTGTGTGACTCAACAGCTGGAGCAGAGTAAAATATGACAACACCCTTCGAGCTCTCATTTTGTTGGAGAGGTTAGTGTGGAGCCCCTGCCACGTCACCCTGTGGCTGGCTGATCTTGAGACCCCCCCCCACCGTCACCAACAACCCCACCGTCACCACCACCCCCACCGTCACCCCCCACCGTCACCCCCAACTCCACCGTCACCCCCCCACACCGCCCCCACCGTCACCCCCCCCACCACCGTCACCCACCCCCGTGGTATAAAATCGGCCCTTATCCTGGGCAAAGACGGCACAAGATTTTGAATGCGAGTCCGAGATGGTCGCTCTCGTCGCTCGTGCGTGTTTGGTGCTGGGGCTCTGGGTGAACGGGGCACGGGGTAAGTGGATTCCCACGGTTCACACAAGCACACAGTCGTGTACACACGCACGCGTGTGTGTAGGTGTGCGTGCTACGTATGGAATGACTTCGACCACATCAAGACGCCTTACCGAAAGGTGTATTTATCATCGTACGATTTGCCTTGCCAAGTCGGACGACAGATGCTTTATGGGCGCCATGGTAGCTAGGATAATTTAACTTCCTCCCTTGGTATGTAGAAGGTCGTGGGTGCATTCCAACTCTGACGCCTTCTGTATATTTGGAGTTTGCATGTCTCTCTGCCCGTGGTCATGTGCATTTTTCTCCGGGTCCTCCGGTTTTTCCCTCCACATTTAGAAACATGCGTTTAAAGTATTTGACTGCTATAAATTTCGACATGATTGGCCGCATCATTACCACCATTCTATATGTATGTTGAACTTATGTCACACCGTACGCAGCCAACCGTAGATAATCAGAGGTGCGGGGGAAGAAAAACAAACTAAACACAACAATCATTAAAAAAAAAGTTTTCAACCTAGATTATTGAAAAATATCGGAGGGAAGGGCGTACAAGACGCTCGCAGAAGCGCATCAGAAAGCGCACCATGCGGGGACCGTCTTTGTTTTATGGTTAACTAAAAGCCGCTGCTGCGAGGATGAGCTGAGTTTGCGTGATGATGGCCTATGCTCCTTAACGAGTTCAGTAAAGGTATTGCGGTTAATTTGTGGCAAGCACTTGAGTGTAATGAGTGCGACCAGATAAACTAAAAACTAAACAGTTTTTATTTTACAAGGTAAGGCTCACCGAGCTATAGAGTTATTTTTTCAGAATTATAGCGCAACGAAGTGGGCTCGTCATGTTGACATTTATAGCAGCAGCCAAATACTCTGAATGCGTGTTGATTATAAATGTGGAGGGAAAAACTGAAGGACCCGAAAAAAATCCACGCGACCACGGGGAGAGAGAACGTAAAAACTTAAAATATACAGCAGGTGTCAGGGTCGGGATCAAACCTACGATCTCCTGTATACCAGGCGAGGTAGTTAACATCTCCTAGTAATCGCGATGCTATGCGATGGCGAGATGGACGCAATCTCTGGAGGTCATTGCGTCCAGCGTCGTACATGATACGACACAACGCCACCACTTTCTATCAGCAACTTTTGCAATTGACGTCTGACCTTCAAATGCCCGCTCTTAAAAACTTTCCCACCACCTGGATTTTGGTTTTGTAGCCGACCCCTGGATGGCACTGATGCTCATCTCAGTGACCTGGCTTCTCCAGGAAATGTGAACATATGCAACTGGAATATGTTGATTGCAATGTTTTTATGCTTTGTCCTTTCAGTAACCTGCCTTCCCACACTGACTGTACAGATGTTGTATGGCTATGCATAGCATTTTGTTATGAACCAGGTTACCCGAGATTAATTCCAGGCCATGGCTTACATCAGTGGTGACTGCTATCTGGTATCTGCGAGGATGACCGGAGTTTGTGTGATGATTTATGCTCCTTGACGAGATCAACAAGGTATTGTGTATCATTTGTGCAAGCAATTTGTGTGTAGTGAGAACGACCTTATAATGTATTGGATCAGCAACCAAAGCCAATCCAGCTCGGCGACCGCTGGACGAACTTGGTCAAATCTTGCAATACCCGTCACGACACGTGCCAAAGAATGTTGTACACTCTGCAGCTTGGTAATATTTTTCCAGACGTCCCCTGAGAGTAGTGAGTTGCAATAATCAATCCATGTAAATACTATGCTACACGCCACTGTGTTGGCTATGTTACAACTCAGTAGTTATCGAATGTGCCATACATCCCTGATATAGAAATTGTAGGACCTTGCTATGTTGTTGCATGTGGTGATCAAACGACATTATGTTCGAGTATGGTGCTGAGGTTCTTTACATGAGTAGAAAACTTAATCCTGGAGTCTTCGATTGCAACACCTGATCCTCCCACAATATTTTAGCCTGAGTGCCAACCAGCAGAACCGCAGATTTGTCTGAATTAAGCAGCATTTTCTTTCGTGCTAACCAAACGTGTCCCACTTACGTGCCATCTTCAAGGTTACGGAGGCTCTCAATATCTCACTTTGACTTCACTGTAGTGAACAATTGTGCATCATCAGAAAATTGATGGAACTTGATGGCATGCGACGAGATGACATCGGCGATCAAAGAGACGTATCTTGACAACAGGAAGGGCCCGAGGACGGACTGCTGTGGTACACCAACTGGGCATGGCATAGGCGATGACTGTTCATCCCCCACTTGATGAACTGTGATCGACCATGCGGGTATAACTAAATACACCCCAGTGATGTACCCAATACACAAAACCTTGACCTTAGCCACCCGATGAGTATCTAATGGTCGATGGTGTCAAAGGCGGTGGAGACATCGAGTCCAGCCAACCTGTCATCCATGATCTTGTAGAGGTCATTGGTGATCTTTGGTAGTACCATCTCAGTGCTGTGGAACATCCGAAACGCCAACTGCAATGGGTTAAATTTGCCTTTTGCAGCGACCTGGGAAAGTAACCACTTCAACCACAGGCGCTCTTTGACCTTTGAAATTGTGCTCTGCTTTTAGTCCGGGTGATAGGTTGTGGGTTCACTATGGCTTAAGCTAACTTTTCTTCAGGAGTCGTGTTACCTGCACCATTTTGATATGGTCTGGGAAACAGCCATCGCTGAAAGAAACATTTGCAATGTGAACAATCGGCGGCGCGAGCGCGTCCGAGCGTAAAGTGAGAATTAACGTGCGGAATGTAGTCAAGTGGCGATGTCTCATTTGGCAACCGTATGATGAATATCGACAGCTCTGCAAACAACGTTGGTGCCAGGGTTATCGAGTTTTGCATTGGTTCGAGGTTGATCAAACTCAGATGGCAGACCGAGGGAATGCATTGCCTTAAAGTTAGAAACTGCTGTCTCGATTGTCACTTTTTATTGAAGAACGACGCAAATACAGGGACTGCTCTACTTACAAACGAGTTAGTTTCCAGTGATCTGTTTGTAAGTCGATTTGTTCGATTCTAAACATGTTGTACGGCATAGACACTAAACACGGGGAATGGCTTTAGAAGATCTATAAGCTCCTATAGATGTAGATGCCACTGGTTCTTCACGTTTTGTAGATGTAGATGCCACCACCACCATCTATTTCGCGGCAGTTCAACTACCGACTCTTGGTCCAAACAGGCAACTGGACATACGGACAGCATTATTCATATCTCTGAAAGTTCTTAAGTCGAATTTTTGTAAGTAGAGGACTCCCTGTACTGTGCAAAGACCACTTTAATTGGTTGATGGGTGGTTGGAGTGCAGCAGGACCCTTCACGACACACCACAGAGCACAAAGGCCCTGAGCCAACATAGTGATGCGCAGAGCAAAGAACGATCTATGAGATGACTCAACAATGAGTCAGTTGAGAGATCTGCTAGCAGCTCTGGAAGCGAGTCGAACAGTCATGTGAATTAAACGTGATAACCATGCGTGGAATCATCTCTGGTCGATCATCCAACCCCACCTCCTATAATCACTGCATCACAGGCGTTGCCGGACCAGTCACTTCACTAATCCCTGTCCACATCCTTTTCAGGTGCAGCCTGTCCGGGAGATGCGAGTTGTCATTGCTACAAATTTGGTTCCATGGTGAGCGTGTGTACCAAGAGGTCCGTCATGAGTGTGGTTGGCCGCTCCGTGGTCCTGCCCTGCACCTTCTCGCTTCATTCTCCCTCGAATGAAGTCAGCGTGGAGTGGAGACTCAGGGAGATCAAAAAGGGAATGGTAATATTCAACAGTTCGAATAACAATTACACTGCCGACAATTTTAGGGATCGACTCAGACTGTTGGGAGACCCTGGCAAAGGTGATGCAAGCATCATCATCGTCAACCTGAAACGTGCAGACATAAACACCTACTTTTGCCGAATCAAAGAGTGGGAAATGAGTGAACAAAGAATCAAAGAATATAATTATTATGGTCATCATGGAACCCACCTGATAGTCCAAGGTACGTGTTGTCTTGGTATTGAGATCCGGTTCAGGCAACAAACATTTCAGGACCCATGCCTCTCCATTGCAGCAATGACTCGTGCAGGGCTCGCTTTAGGAAAATCATCACGAGTGTTGCATTTTATTTGAGAATCTCTGGCTACGAGAATATCAAAGAGTGACAGAGAGGAATTACGGTGACATCTGTCTGTGATCTGATTGTAAATTGCCATTGCCATTATCTGGTACGGGGGATAAGCGGTTCCGGTTTGTATAAATTCACGAATGTGTTTAAAACAAGTGGAAACTTTCGATTTAAAGCTTTCGTGACTGCAGGGATTCATCTTCTTGGTTCTTTCGGTATTACTTCCCTTCTACGTGACTTTACCAAAAGAACCAAGAAGACAAGTGGAAACGTTTGTGACATAAGGAAGTGATGCAAAGTATTCAACAATTGGTGCTACACCAGGTGCATTTTTAAAACGTTGGTAAAGATGTTACATACGACTCACCGGCGTGATATGTTCATTATAAAAATTCACACTGGGAAAAGTTTGAGACGATACGGCCTCTATCTTGGCCACGTGGTGGCCTCAAGACGACGTTAACTATATATCCGCCTCGCTCACTCCACAAGTCTCTTAACCTTATCCGAACAACACTTCTACATCATTAGTACATCTAATCCACGCTACCAGCAACGTAAATGCATGTAACTGTACACAAGTAGTATGACACCAGGCCTCTCATTCCAACAATGGCCGTTCACCACTAATTGGTGGTGACGTCACTACGACGCTTGTGCCAGGCTACGTGCACTTTAAGGCCATGTGAAGTGTCGGAGGCCCGCTGGCATGAGGTCACGGAACAGACCCAGGTGCCATGGGTTGACCGACTGAGATAACTGGCAGATGCACCAACATGCAAAGAATTCCAAAACCAGTGCACCACTATGTGCCCTTTTAAAAGGTGGTATAGATATCACATACGACTCGCTCGCATAATGTTCCTCATCAAAGTTTACAGTGGTTGAAGCATGCTCAAGTGTACTCTGTGAGGTTCATAAAGAAACATCTCATTGAGCGTAGAGGCTCTTTTAAAAAAAGAAGTGGACATGCTCTGGATGTTTTGTCAATCCCAATATGCAATTTAATACGTGGAGTAAACTGGTGAGCCCACGATAAACCCACGGCATTGAGTTCACAACACCAGAAATAGCATCCATATTAATCAATTACCTCCTTTCCATTACGAGACGTTTGCAAGTTGCAGGGTGTGGGTGTCCTATTTACCACAGAATCTTTGAACGTACAAGCGGTTTTTATTTCGAGAGGCGTAGCATCATTGTTTTTAAAGATGTCGTTCCTCACCGCAGATAACTGTAGTGACATGACTGCCGCCACTCTAGAATAGCTAGCACCAAAACTGTGCCACACACAACCCTCCCCCGCATGGCCTTGTGGGAGCCGCGTTACATACTCCAGTACAGAATCAGAAGAAAAACTGATGACATAATGTACATCATCGCAATGGGAAAGGGTTAAGGTGCTCACCTTCATAGCCATGTAATCTACCAGGGACCATGGACATTGTGCTCCAAGTGCAAACCCCCAATCTACCTCCTATTAGCACTCCATCACAGACTCATGCTGTCAAGGAACCAATCTCGTTCGCATTCCTTTTCAGGTGCAGTCTCTGAAGGAGACGGGAGTTTTCAGTGCTTCAATTTCAGCTACAGGGCGAGCATGTGTACCGAGAGGTTCGTCATGGGCGTGGCGGGCGGCTCTGCCCTCTTACCCTGCACCTTCTCGCTTAATTCTCTCTCAAACCAAGTCCACGTGGAGTGGAGACTCCAGGAGGTCAACAAGGGACTGCTCATATTCAACAGTTCAAACAACTACATCGAAGTGAAATTCCAGGATCGACTAAGACTGGTGGGAGACCCAACCAAGGGGGAAGCGAGCATCAACATCACCAACCTGAACTGTAGTGACACATATGCCTACTTCTGTCACATCAAAGAGTTGAAAATGAATCAACAGGGAAACAGCGAGTACAATTACGCTGACCAACTTGGAACCCTCCTGGTCGTCAATGGTACGTGGGCCATACATTCAAGCTTGCGTGTACACAATTCTACTTACGACTCAGGAAGTCTCCCTTGCCCAGTCCCGTCTGCTGCTCCTGGCTAGAAGCCCTCCCTTCCTCCAGTATTGTTCTGGTTGTTGAGGTGCTGAGAGAATGGCCTCTGCCTGATTCCAGGGGGACCCAACCCCCATCATACCCACCTAGACTGGTCCAAATATTGGTCATACCGCCCATCTCGCTTAACCAGTTGCAACTTTAATATCCTGGCCCATGCTGTATTGTTCACCCTCCCTATTGAAACAGGCCACACATATTTACCAGTTTGCGTGCCATTCCAATCATAGTTAAAAATGCTGAAATAAGCCTCAGGTCAACAAGTTCAGACTCCTGCCAACCAGCAAATATTCACATTTGGCTGATTGAGTTTCAGCAAGTTCCAACAGATAAGCGGACTGAGAGGTCCAACAAGCCTAACATATCCAATCCTTTCTTATCTAGCACGTACAGTAATCCATAAACAACACAAAGGGTAGCTATCTCATTGGTATGTAAGGGTCGAAATCCAGACTGGCTGATGTCAAGAAGAGACGCATGGGGCAGGCCTGGCAGGCTCTGATGGTAGAGATGCTGTGGACAGGCCTGGCAGGCTCCGATGGTAGAGATGCTGGGGGCAGGCCTGGCAGGCTCCTTCACTTCGTAAAATTTCCATATGGTATGTTGAACCAGTTGTGTGAATACCGGAGTACTCTGAAGAAAACCCAAACATACGAGGGGGTAAAACTCAAGGTGCACATTCATGGTGTCTCTGACACTCAAATATTCAGTGAGGTGGGTCTCAACCCTCAACTTAAACTTCACATTATCCGACGGTGATGGCTGCTTCCCTTAAACATTAACTGCCGTACATTAACCTCATACACGACCAGAATGTGAACTTTTAACTCACCAGTGTGACCACCTGACCTTCGCGGTGCAATGTGTTTCTGTGTTATTGACAGATTCCAGCCATACCACCATCCTCACCAGCGCAATTCCACCCACTGCCAATGTCCCTACTGGTTGGAAGGGGTGCAAGAGAAGTGTAATCGCAATATTAGTCTGCTCCATCTCCCTATTGTCAGTATCTCTGTCTTACATCTGCTGGATCGTGTTGAGAACACAGCACAACACGGTATGTATGTGTGTACGTTGAAGTTGTAATTTCTCACTGTAAGTGGCCAACCGTGATAATTGAAGATGCGGGGAAGGAAAACAAACTACACACAACAAGAAGCAGTTCTAAATAAATTCGTTTTCTATGTAGTATAGTTGTGTCGTGTATGGTAGTGTAGTGTATATTGGTGTCGTGTATACAATGAGGGAAAAAAGTATCTGATCCCCTGCTGATTTTGTACGTTTGCCCACTGACAAAGAAATGATCAGTCTATAATTTTAATGGTAGGTTTATTTGAACAGTGAGAGACAGAATACCAACAAAAAATCCAGATAAACGCATGTCAAAAATGTGATAAATTGATTTGCATTTTAATGAGGGAAATAAGTATTTGACCCCCTCTCAATCAGAAAGATTTCTGGCTCCCAGGTGTCTTTTAGATAGGTAACGAGCTGAGATTAGGAGCACACTCTTAAAGGGAGTGCTCCTAATCTCAGCTTGTTACCTGTATAAAAGACACCTGTTCACAGAATCAATCAATCAGATTCCAAACTCTCCACCATGGCCAAGACCAAAGAGCTCTCCAAGGATGTCAGGGACAAAATTGTAGACCTCCACAAGGCTGGAATGGGCTACAAGACCATCGCCAAGCAGCTTGATGAGAAGGTGACAACAGTTGGTGCGATTATTCGCAAATGGAAGAAACACAAAATAACTGTCAATCTCCCTCGGCCTGGGGCTCCATGCAAGATCTCACCTCGTGGAGTTGCAATAATCATGAGAACGGTGAGGAATCAGCCCAGAACTACACGGGAGGATCTTGTCAATGATCTCAAGGCAGCTGGGACCATAGTCACCAAGAAAACAGTTGGTAACACACTACGCGGTGAAGGACTGAAATCCTGCAGCGCCCGCAAGGTCCCCCTGCTCAAGAAAGCACATATACATGCCCGTCTGAAGTTTGCCAAGGCACATCTGAATGATTCAGAGGACAACTGGGTGAAAGTGTTGTGGTCAGATGAGACCAAAATGGAGCTCTTTGGCACCAACTCAACTCGCCGTGTTTGGATGAGGAGGAATGCTGCCTATGACCCCAAGAACACCATCCCCACCGTCAAACATGAAGGTGGAAACATTATGCTTTAAGGGTGTTTTTCTGCTAAGGGGACAGGACAACTTCACCGCATCAAAGGGACGATGGACGGGGCCATGTACCGTCAAATCTTGGATGAGAACCTCCTTACCTCAGCCAGGGCATTGAACATGGGTCGTGGATAGGTATTCCAGCATGACAATGACCCAAAACACACGGCCAAGGCAACAAAGGAGTGGCTCAAGAAGAAGCACATTAAGGTCCTGGAGTGGCCTAGCCAGTCTCCAGACCTTAATCCCATAGAAAACTGTGGAGGGAGCTGAAGGTTCAAGTTGCCAAACGTCAGCCTCGAAACCTTAATGACTTGGAGAAGATCTGCAAAGAGGAGTGGGAAAAAATCCCTCCTGAGATGTGTGCAAACTTGGTGGCCAATTACAAGAAACGTCTGACCTCTGTGATTGCCAACAAGGGTTTTGCCACCCAGTATTAAGTCATGTTTTGCAGAGGGGTCAAATACTTATTTCCCTCATTAAAATGCAAATCAATTTATAACATTTTTGACATGCGTTTTTCTGGATTCTGTTGTTGTTATTCTGTCTCTCACTGTTCAAATAAACCTACCATTAAAATTATAGACTGATCATTTCTTTGTCAGTGGGCAAACGTACAAAATCAGCAGGGGATCAAATACTTTTTTCCCTCACTGTACTTGTGTAGTGACATCGTGGATGTCACTGTATGGTGCCGGCCGTAGAGAAGCAAGCCATGCAATGTACTCACATCGTGGATATCACGTATGTAGCAGCATCGTGCATGTCACCGAGTAATGCCGGCTCTAGCAAGGCACGGCGTGCGATGCACCGTCATCGCGGGCACCCCATAGGTGGGTGTAGTACCACCCCTAGTGAGGGCTTGGTGAGTGCTGGGATAGCGCAGTGGCACCAAGCATGGCGTGCAGTTCTGTCTCCTACCAGAGGGAGTGGGAGAGTGTCAGCCCAGGGACAGGGTTACCCTGGGCCATGGCACTCTGGTTGATCCCGACGGCACGTGACCGGTAAAGTCTACAGGGGGCCCCCAGATGGGAGCCCACTTTCCGGGGGAAAGTGGGCTCGAGAAGAATCGAGAGAGAGCCAAAGCTCTCTCGAAGGTGGGCGGGGCCAAGGGTGGAGCCGACCCCTACCCGGGAACATATAAGCCGGGTCCCCGCAGGGACCGCGGTCGTCGTTGCTACCGTCATCTGAAAATCTACATTCTACGTCAAGAAGAAGCCTCCAACACGTGGTCCAGGACCCGAGAGGGGTCCGGTCAGTTGTAGTTGACTCCCTAGGCTGTATCTGGTAAAGGGGCAGCTATCCCTTTGTGTATTCGTGTTGGTGTAATAAATGTGTTGCCTCTAAGAAGTAGGTCTGCGACTCAGTTGGGCCCACTACACTTGTGTAGAGGAGAGAAATACGCGGTGTGTGCAGTTAAGCGGGTGCAACTGAGGACAAACAGGTGTGTGCGTTGCAACATGAGGTTTGCACCGACAAACTGCCAGTGATTAAGGTGAGAAGCGGATGCAACCAAGGTCAAAACAGGTGTGTATGCTGTGACTGAAGGTTGGCGTCGAAGAGACGGGAGATGAAGGGTGATGATAAGGGATTAATGGGACAACAGGCGCCGGGCTGGTGGCAGCTTGAGGGGGAGCACGTGAGGACTCGGAATGAGGGGGGATATATAAGGGGAGTGTGTGTAAGCGAAGGGAGTTGTTGTTGCCCGGGTACCAAGAGTGAAAACATCTCGCCCGGGACAGACGGGTGAGCGGCCATGAGGGAGCGTAGGTGAGGGCAGCAGTGGAGATGCAGAGTCGCTGAGTGCAGAGCTGCTGTGTGCAGAGTTGCTGAGTGCGAAGTCGCTGTGTGCAGACTCGCTGAGTACGGAGCTGCTGTGTGTGGAGTCACTGAGTGCGGAGCTGCTGTGTGCGGAGTTGCTGAGAGCAGAGTTGCTGAGTGCAGGATAAGTGAGGTGCAGAATAGATAAGAGCGGAGAGAAGCCACGTCTATGTGACCGTACAGATAGTTATAGGAGTGCCTACAACTGGTGCGAGAACAGGTGAAATAAAGTGTAAGCAGGTGACTTGTTACAACGTATCGGTGTGAGTAATTTTGAAGACACTACACTTGTGTAATGTAGTAGATACATAGTAGTGTATAGGGTAGTAGTGTTGTGTATCGTCTAGTGTACAGTCTACTGTATAGTAGTGTAATGTGTAGTATATAGTCGTGTGTGCATGTGCATGTTGAACTTCTTTCCCACGGTATGTAGCCAACCGTGGTCATCAGAGATGTGGGGGGCAGGGGGAAGGGAGAAAAAGACAAAAGCCTTGGCTGACTCAAGGAGTCATAAAAATTCTGCGTCCAGATCTGGAGTAGTGCAACAAGAGATATATTACACTGGTCAACACACTTTTTCTGGCATATGGGATTCCAACGGTTTTAAGGTAATTTTGGGGTCCTGATTCCAAATCTGGCATCAGTTTTTGTGAGGTTTTGAGATATCAAATATTTCATTTTCAATAAAAACAGCAAATTTATGCTCATATACGAATAGCTAAACAGACATCCATACAAGAATAAGATAAGATACAATATACAATAATAATGAAACAAACATTTAATGAGCCGTAGCACAAAGTTGTGAGAGTGACTGCATATCAATGTGAGTGAATGCATATTACCATGTAATAATTGAATTGTGAAGATAAGAAAAATATGTACAAAAAGGTCATTCACAATAGTGATGTTACATCTGCATAAACGACCTCTTCTTTGAAGATCTCCGATGTACAGCTTGTGGAATGTCTCTCATCAAGGACCAGCAGTAATCTGCCATCATGTTTGAGTCCCATCGGCCATGGTAACGTTCTTCCATAACTTTAATGTATTGATGAAAGCGTTCACATTGCTGTTCGCTCACGTGACCCATGCTCTCTGGAAACTGGGCCAAGTGACTATGTAAGTAGTGAACCTTGATGCTCATTCTACATCCAAGTGCTTGGAAACTCAAGAGCAGCTCCTCCACAATCTCTCGATAGTTGTCCGTTTTCCTGTTCCCAAGGAAATTCCACACCACATCAGAGAATGCATTCCAAGCTCTAGCCTCTGCCGCAGTCATTGTTGTAACAAAGTGTGGATTCCTGATGAGTGTTCTTATTTGAGGGCCATCAAATATTCCTGCCTTTTTATTCTCGGCCCTGAGACTTGAAAAGGTTGAACATATATAGCTGAAGCAGTCTCCAGTGTGATCAAGAGCTTTGACGAATTGCTTAATTAACCCAAGTTGTATGTGCAGTTGGGGCTCATTCTTGATGTTCTTGTCACCAGGTGTCAAACTGATTCTTGGTGGCCAGTTATTTTTAACCCAGTGTTCTAATGTAGCCCTACTGTCCCAGTAGCACAGGAAATAAGGGTATTTGGTGTGACCTCCTTGCTGACCCAGCAGAAAATGAACCATTTTCAAATCAACACAAATTAGCCATCCATGAACATGGTATTCCAATCTATCCAGAACAATCTTGATGTTGGCATACTCTTTATTTATTTTTACAGAGTGTCCTATTGGGATTGAACCATATATATTTCTGTTGTGAAGTAACACACATTTCAAACTCCTTTTACTACTGAAATTGTCTTTTCCAAGACCAAGGTGCTCTGCAAACCTCCTGGATACCATCAAAGGTTTGTACACGAAGCCATCCAAATATACAAACACAGACATAATTTCAACCGTGATGATGGGTACAAACTTAGTAATCATTGGAAATATGTTATTAACCATGCAAAAAAGATTTAACTACACATATTTGGACCATCTTATTTGACAGGCACTATTCTTCAGTTACCGTATAGTTTCTTCTTCTTTTTTCACACACTGGTTTTCCTGCCGCACCACCTCTACATAACAAAGGCTCAGTCCCATTTACAGCAACCGCACCTTTACATCAGCCGCACCTTAACAACTCTTGGAACCTCCCATTTCAACCAGTCTACACAACAAAGACTCATTCCTAGCAGCGTCCTTCAGCCGCACCGAACCTCACAATAATAATATCCAGGGGCCTGCCTTGGCTCCTCCCACCCTCAACCAGTATATATACAAGGACTGTTTTCTTGGAATTTCTCTTACTTGAAACAGCAATCGTGCTGTGACGGTTCCACCTGAAGACGGAAGCTTGTGTTGCCTC